GTCGGTGACGTGTAGATAATGAAAATGTTCCATATTTTTTGCGGATTGCTTTGCATAGTCACAAGACAAAATTTCCCACGACGACTGTTTGCTTTTTCTACATAATTTTCCCATCATTTTTGATGACTCTACAACTAAATCAATGACGTTCCCGCTATCGTCAAATATTCCCTACCTATAACAATTAAATAATTCCCTATATGTTCGGTTAGAGGTCAGCCGGCAGGAAAGGGATGTCAAAAGTGGGATAATGGGTCTTTTAAGCCCTGATTTCATACGTTTAAGTACTTCCTTTAGTAGTTACGGAGCAGTATATCTGAACAGAAATACTCATTTATCACACGTGACGATGCATGCGTAATAAGAAATGTCACGGTGCCTTCATTTTTTTGCTATGCAATACGCACGTCCATTAAGTTAAAATAGTTGCATCAAGAAGAGAATGCCGGCGCTGCGCCGCGATGCCAACTTAGGAGAAATACATTCTGTAAGGACTTCATTTTTTTTCTCGTTTTTTGTATGAACGTAACGTAATCATCATTTTTTTAACACAAAGATTACATGAAATTTTAAAGGACAAACCGAGTTTCTCAGCGATCTATTTCGGCTGACGTAACCTGAAGATTTTTGCATGCAAAAAAATGTTATATCATTGCATTTGCTGTCTTTGTAAAATGTTCCATCCATGATGTGCGATGGGTTTCTGCGTGAAAAATGTTACGTCATTGCTAATTTTCTTTCTTTTCCTGTTTAAAATTTCCCATGAATAAAATTATCTTTAGTCTAGGCACAGCAATTTGAAATTCAAGTATGAAGACTCATGTTACTTGTTAAAACTAGGAATGTAAAATTGCGACTGTATGGTCTTTTTCAGCATTTTTTTCATTTCTTTTTTTACTAAGGAAGAAATCAGTGTCTTCTTGCGCTATTCATTAACTTCTTCTCGTCTTGCAGAGGATGTTTATCAGATAGATTTTAGACTATAACGTTGTTTCTTTTTTTCTTTGAAAACCACGGTCACACGCAAACGCCACACTCTAGCTGCGTACGTATCCATAAATTTTCATGAGCACATAATTTTCCTAGGTACAAAGAGATGAAGATTCTACAGACAGCTAGAATTGATCATCCGACACTTATCGATTGATTTCGATAATCGAGTAGGCACTGGAGGAGGTTCTTTCATCTCTTTTTTTTAACCCACATTGATACAATCGAACCCGGTTTTTTTTTTTGGAAATTGCCCTTAGTCACATTATGTGCCCTAGTTTTTCTGGTTGTAACGAATTTGAAAACCGAAGTCTTAAAACTCGCGCATTTTTAGAGGACCAATTCCCACCTAACGATTAAAATGTATGTTTTTGAAAATCCTTTTTTGGTAATTTTTGTTGTAAAATTTACAAAAAGTATTAGGAACACATTAAGTAGAAAAACCGTTAAAATACTATTGGCATTGGCGGATCCAGCAATTTGGTAACACCGAATTTCCTACACTTAAACCTATGAAAATGTATCGATGCATAGGGGGCCAGGTGTTCCGACAAGAATCGATTATTTAGCATAGGTTTAAATGGAAGAAATCCGGTGTTGCCAACTTGCTGGATCCGCCTCTGACTATTGGAAAATCTACTAATTTCTAGAAAATCTAAAAAACACCTCTCCATATAATTTTTATTTTAAAGAAAATTTCTGAATATTTTCCCTTGAAATTTTTAGACACTTCATATACAATTGCGAATACAATTCATTGAAAAAATTAGCAGGTAAATTTTCAAAAGATTCCTTGAAAACTTTCAATTTATCAAAGGGAGTTTTGCAGCGTCTGTAGGTTCATACGGTGTTCTTCCGTAGAACGACCCATATTAAGCACTGTACGGGGCATAAGCACGCTTCGTGCGGCTCGGCACGTAAGTTCGTCAGTCAAACTGTCAAATAAAACCTCAAATCCGTCGTCTTTCCCTCCAGACTTGCTTGTCTTACGTCACAATTCGACAAAATTGAGCAGTTTTGTCCCATAAATTGCCCATCGAAATAACGAAAAAAACCTTCCGAGAATCTCCTCACGTAAAAGTTTATGTAAGATGCAACGCGTCTTGCCTCTCTGACAAACAAACCGGGTTGGTGCGAATAATAAACCGGCGCGGGAAACAGGTACTTAGGTGCGCCATTATTATTGCTGATGGTCAACATCAATTCTAAAGGTCCATGAATGCTCTAAATTTTAAATATCGATAGCTTCTAAGTACGGAACCACGTATTCCTATTGCGGCGTTTCAAAATCTCTACTCCTGTTTTATTTTTTCGAGGAGAAGCATGTCAATTATAATGCCGTGCTTTAGTGAAAAACGCCGTATGAACATTCGAAAGTTGCCAAATTTTCTCCAATAAAAAGTTTATTTCTGCGGAGAGTTAGGAATAATTTCTCTTGAAATTTTCCGATAGTATCAACCTAATTACAATGAAAATTCTCTGAGAAATTGAATGGAAAATATTCACAAGTTTACCCAAAAATTCGTGTTATATCAAAGGAAATTTGGCAACTGACGAAGGTTTATGCGGCGTTTTTCCTTAGCACGACAGTATAGATCTCAATGGAATAGAAGAAAAATAAGAAGAAAAATCAAGGAAGTTTTCAAGAAATCAAGTTTACTAGTTTTCCAAAGAAAAAATAAAGGTTAACAGGAAGTCTGCAAAGTTGCAAATGGAGATACAAAGTTTCGAACTTTCTACATCAATATCCTGTTCAAATGTTTCCCACCAGGACCGCTGGACCGCGAATCTAACGGAAATGCACACCAAGTCGCATTTTCGGGAAAAAATGAGTCGAGAGTCCCTATAGTTTTGACTCCAACAAACAGCTCTCACCTCAGCTGGATTCGAAAATTTTCCTTGAAAATTTTAAAATTCGAGGAAAAAGAACTTGAACGTGCACGAAAATGGACTTTAAGCGTTACACTTGACATTTAGTCATATGAACGAGTAAAGACTGCAAATCTGTTCTTCTCGGATCGGACTTTGGCGCGCGCAGTTCTGCCAAGCTCGGTTCATTTTAACTGGCACCTGGAAAACAATTTTCAAATTAAATTAAATTAAATAGACACATAGAAATCCAAAATCGGCCCAGCCAATATTGAAAAACGACGCTTTGAAGAGAAAGGTAATGCCTCCCTCCATGAGTTGTCATTTGACTGCAAAATCAACGTTGAGTCTACAAAATTATCCGTGGAAAAAAATGAGTATCATGCCTACCTGCTTCCATGTGAAGTTCCGGTTTTACTATTATACATCGGAACAAAGAACAGTTTCAATGACTGCAATGTTCAGAGAATCAAAAACCTCCAATGGGTCATGAAGTATGAAATTTGGCGTTTAGACCGAAGTTTTTTCTCTCCATGTAAAGTATCAATAATGCCTCCAAAATCTGCGGGCAGAGCAATGGTTAATTATACCTACGTAAATAAATTTCACACGTATAGCTACAGCTTAGCAATCGAATCTTAGCAATTAATTAGTATTTAATAGGTTGGATTATTTGTTTACATCTATCGCGGGATGATAAGCGAGAAAACATTCCGTGAGTATCACTTTATCGAAGTGCTAATACTGAAGTGTTACAAATATCAAGTTTGCCGATGTCCGTTCTAGTTTGCTCAGTTGCAAGGAAACCCAATCAATCTGCATCACATATTGTTTACCTAGATCTGTTTGTCCCTTTGATATAGTGAGCCAAGAGTGTGACATCAGGTTTGCAAAATTTCTAATCACTGTTTCCGCGCAGTGGCGTTTTCTGTACCCACTCACGCTAGAGAGGCTCTGCTTCCTGTAAGACGTTTGACAGCAAATAATTATAATAATATTATGCGTTTCTCATCAATTAAAGAAACTGCAATAGAAAAATAGAGCTAGAATCAAAGCCTTCAGGTACGGTTTGAACATCGCAATTTCCTGAGAGGAAGCATAAGATTAAAATACTCAAATAGATACTCATTGTTGCACGAGGTATATTTTCTGGCCTACCTCAGAAATTGAAGGCGAAATAGCTATGTGCGGAAAGTCTTTAATCAATTGTTAGGGAACTAGAATGTTTGTATCAAAAAGTTTATGACGTAATATGATTTTACATCGCGGTGTGAAACGTCAAAAATTGCGCAAATTTTAAAACTGTTACGGGGAAAAATCAAATAAAAACCTGCCAGGCAAGCCTAAGTACATTTTACGTAAAAATCCACATTAAAGGATTCCTCATTTGTTTTGTGCATGTTTGAGGGTTTTTTAAATGAATCAGTGAGAACAAAAACACACTAACCCTGTAACTCGAAAATGCTTAATTTTCATTAAAGACAGTCAATTTTCACAAAAGTAATTGAAGTTAGCGCATCTGTTCCAGTTTGGACATTTCAAGAGTCCTTTAGACCCTCGAAACCAAAAATCTTTTTCTTAGACTAACTCCTTCACCTACTGTGCAGTTTAGTGTGTGTGTCTTGATTTTTTCATTTTTTCGAGTTGGTGTGTTTTTGTTCTCACTGATTCAAATGAGTACCTACCCACATCTTATATTCTACAAGTTTTTAAAACAAGTTTTTAAAATGTATTGCCACCAGGTAGAGCTTGCTACATTAAAAATAAATCCTGACTCAAAATGGTATAATAGCGCCGCAAGCATAAAACGAATTAAAAATGTGAAACAAACTCTAACACGGGAAGATTGCCGTACACCCCCCATTACTTATACAAGTACAAGTTTTGAATAAAAATATTCAAAACTTATCGGCAGCAGCAAAAGTTCAGATTGTTATCATTCAGGAAAATCCTGGCTTAAGACGGTATAATGGCTTTGCCAGCACAGAATGAATCTGGAATTCGAGGCGAATTCCAGCACGGAAATCTGCTTCTGAAGCCGGCGGTAGAGGGTAGGGGGAGGAGGGGGCGATAGTTCGCACCGCTAGAGCTTCTACTAATAAAATTAGTGAAGCTTGAGATCCACCCCCACTCCACCTCTCTACCAGTGGCGAGTGGAGAGCCACTTTTCCGCGCGTTTGCAAGCATTCCTCGTTTAGTCGCGACCAGGCAGTGAGTTTACGCAATCGCTGATTTTCACGCCGGATCCGACCCAACCAGGCGCCACCCCTCCGTCACTGAAAGCCCTGAAACTCGGTGAGTGACCAATCAGTACATTATGAGTTGATCTTTCTTCAGTTTTAAAGTGACTTTTTCTTACGCACCTCCGCGTATTCGCCTCTCGTTTTATTTGCCTTACTTTCATTGGAAACGTGACGTTTTTGTGGTTTCTATTATAACTTATTTATCAACTTTAAAAGGCAGTCTCGATTCTTTCAAGATTCTAATTGGTGGTTTTTTTTTGTTTGTTTTTTTTTGTTTTGTTTTTTTTGCCTCTTAGCCACGACTCTGTATTTGTGTAGTTATTTCCGCCGTAAGTAGCCGATAACTTTTTTTCAGACCAAAAAAAACTTGAAATTTCCGTAAAAAAGATTTTTCTCGGAATAGACAATAAAATTACTCTAGTAAATTTCTGATTGATACAAGTTACTTCCTTCTTAATGAAAACATTATGTCTGCTTAATTCATGGCAAATTTTCTCTTGGCGGCAAGTTCAAGAATATGGCCACTTACATCGAGTCACTTTTTTCCCCAAAGTAACAGAATGGGACGGTTATTTTTTATGTTTTGTTAGAACCTTAAAATGAATTCAAATGAATTGAAATGTAAAGAATCGTCGTTCTCTTTGGTACTTCCATTTTGAATTCATGCAGTTACTCCTAATTGAAATTCCTAATTCTCATATGGCCTTTTGTAAATCGGTCACATCGGTATTGTTTTACTGGGAGTGATACTAAAAAAATAAATAGGTCAATACTCTTATGCTATCGTTCAATAGCTGTAATAATTTTAGCCTTGACAATGTCATCAAAGCTATTCAAAAATTATCTAGTACAAAGCACTGTCGCTCCAGAAGGAAAAAATTTCATCTAAACAATAGCACTGATTAGCAGCAAAACATTTTCCAACATTTTAGGTCAAGCGTGGAATCAATTATGGGTCATTTAAGTTTCAGCGTAAGTTTTTTAAGGATAGTAGGTACATTCCGCTTGTATTTGAAAAAATCGTCGGAATACAAATCATGGCATCAATATTTGTTTTAGTGTTTTTCAATTACTTTTAGTTTCGTCTACTGCTTATACAAGTAATTGTGCATAGCATTGTAAACGAGGAAGTAAGGTTATCGAATCACATGTTCCTATTTGTCAGAATTGAAATATTTCTTTATCATCATAATCATAGGTATACTTATTTTGAAACATTTTTTTAAATTATTAAACAGGAAAATGTCTGACAGAAAAGCGCGCTTAGTCACTAAAATATATTCTTTCTTTTATTAATAAATTGATTTTTTCATTAAAATCGATTCTAAAGACTTCTGTAAGACTATAATTATTGTGCAGCGGTGGTAAAATTTTGTCTCACCTTTACTCTCCAAAAAAAAGGTGCGAAAAGAGGCCAAGACGGCTAAAAAAATGGAACTGGGTTTTTTTTTTTTTATTAAAAAACGAATCCTCTTCATTCTTATCATTACGAATATTGCTGGAATTTTTCCATTTTCGTGTTATAATATTGTTTATAATTGTTGTACCGAAGTTATTAGTGAGTCTTTTTGATCGACAAGTTAACTTTTGATCAGTCGCCCGAATTAGCGGCATCCTCCATCTCTCCAGGAGGTAAAGAGGACAGGTGTTAATTATTTCTTCAAGAGATTGCATAGACATAGAAAAAAAAAAATAGTTGCATGGCAATTAAAACAATTAGGATCTCATTTTGTTGATGAGGATGATTAGTGGTGTCTAGCAAAATAATAGAGGAGTGTGAATGAGCGACAGTAGTCCCGTCAGGATACGGAGTGTCGACTTGGGGATCTCAGTTTTCCGGAAAAGTTAGGTTAAGGCAGTAGAGGGGGATGTCGAGGAAGCTTGTCTGGGAGAGTTTCTGGTTGCGTATACTGAAAAAAATTCTCGTTGGATCAAAAGGAATTCCTGTTTGAAATGCCGGGACAGCAGGAATTTCTCATTAAGACCAGAGGAAATCTCATCGTTTCCAACAGTATTCCTACTATTCCAAAGAAAGGCTTTTTCAAAGGTTGCTTCGAAGAGATATTCCATTGATTTAATGAGAAATCCTATCGTGGTATACTTAACAAAGGTTTTTTTTTCAGTGTACACTGTACAACCACCTATAGATAGAGAGAACGGTCAGAGAAAGACTTCCTGGAAATGAATCACCATGTGTGGTTAGAAGTCACCCTGTATAGGTTTTCAGTACAATTTTTGACGGAAAAACGACGGACCTGTAGATTGAAATTTTCCGTATCTAACTCAGGGATGAGAAATTTGTGTGATCCGTGTCATTCAAGGGATTTCTACGCGCCAAAAGACCAACATTTATTGAATGATTTCACTTGCACCCATCTTATTTTGGCGAGTTTTGCAATTTTGAAATTATTTTAATATGATATTAAATTCAAGTAGGTTAAGTTTTTGTTGTCGCGCAGTACGTAATTAGGCGTATCAATGGAATAAGTTAAGGTACGTTTCTGAATTGAAGATATCACATACATAGTCCTCAAAGACAGATAGAAAGAAAGGTCTGAGATTCCTTTGGGTTAGTATTCAAGTTCATCTTTACCTTTGTCAAAGCTTCCTACGCGATTTTTCAGCTCTTTAAATGTTTTTTTCGGCATTATAAAACCGGCACCCAACTCTTTCATTCAGAGTACACTTCATATTTGTGTTGGCTGTGTAAATTTTCAGACTCGCGGTTCTTTTAGATATGATTTGGACGATGAGCCATGCGTTGGTGTGTTAAGTTGCAACCATATCCAGTGATCCATTTCTGGGAAGTACGAGCGCACTTTTAACTTTCAGATACGACAGGTGTGCGGCTCATAGAAACGTGTTTGTTTTGACTATGAACTGTTACAGGTCAGAGCTGTAACCTAATCAAGTTCGTTACTCGACTTTAGTGTGCAAACGCGCAGAAGTTGGATTCTTGGACACCAAAGAAACGAAAAAAATGGACCGCGTTTTTTAGCATAAAGGAACCAAGCAACATCACCTATTGCCAAATTTAAGAAGACAATTTCCGTTCACTGAAAACAAACTAAAGGGCCATATAGACATACAGTCCGTTCCGGACTCAGCGGCCGAAAGTTCCGGGTGCTTGAGCCGTAGCTTCAATTGCTCCGAGTGCTATTTCCAGAATTTGAGCCCCTCCCCCCCCCGAGCCCGGACGGGGACGGTATGTCCGTATAGCGTGTGAGTATGGCTCCCACGGCCGGAGTTTTTTTCTCAGTATTCATATTGGAAGTGAAAACATGGTGTTCGGACGGATCTAACTATTTTCTGCTGATCTACAATTTCTGATAAAACACGATCCTAAATACATTGATCAACTTAAGAAACTTATCCATTTTATGCAAGCTGGCAATACTGGGCCTCGCTCATCCGAACGCAGGTAAAACAATATTAATCGAAGGATATTAGGATATTTATCGAAGCTTACTATCTCAAGTAGAATCGATACTTCTAATGAGTTTAAACGGAGGAGCAACAGTGTTGCAGACGCGACGCGGAGGAATCGCTATTGCAGAAACCGCGTAACTCGCATTGAGACTCGGTGTAAGTTCGCGGTTCTTGCTTGACGCGGCAGATGAGGCGTCGCGGCGCGGCGCGGAGAGTGAACGACAGGGCGAAGGTTAGTGTCAAGGAGGTTTGCAATTGTGTGTCCATTCATTTTCTGCACGGAGGGTAAACAAAACACGATCCCCGCGCTTTTTTTTTTTTTTTTTTTTTTTTTTTTTTTTTTTTTACCGCCAAGAGCAAATGGACCGAGAGTCAGGTGCAAACGCGGGCCCACGGCATTGATATCACTGCAACCGATGGCGATCCCGACGAGCTTACTTCGGGATGCTTTTGCCGCGTAAATAAAAATGAATCCTAGATCTTGTGCTCAGTGGCGTGGCGTACTTTGCGATATATCGATAGATATGCCATTTAAATCTTTGGAAAAAGATCGATAAACCGGGTGCTCGCAGCGAACACCTTAAAAATCGATTCTTTACCATAGGTTTAAATGGCATAACAATCGATACATCGCAATTCACGCCACGCCACTGCTTGTGCTATATTAGCCCGTGGTGATTTCCAGGTTCATCCTTAAAATCTTTCTTCGCCCTCTTTTCCTTCCTCTCATTCCTTATTCTCAATGTTCTTCTCCTTATTCTTAGTCTTACTCTTCTTCTGCCCCTTCTCCTTCTCCTCCTCTTCCTCTTCCTTCTCTTTCTTCTCATTTTCCTCACTCTCCATCTTTTTATTCTTCTCCTTCTTCTGATTCTCTTCCTCACTCTCTTTTTTCTCACTCTCCTCTTTCCCCATCATCTTATTATTCTACTTCTTCTTCTCCTGTTTCCTTTCCCTTCATCCTCTCCTTATCCTCTTTATCCGCCTTTTCCTTCTTTCCTCTCTTCTCCTTCTACTTATTCTTCTTCTTCTCCGTCTTCATTTTCCTCTTTATATTCCTCTTCGGGTTGTATGGCATATACTCCAATTAAGAGATTGGAACCTACCAACAAGTGTAGACAAAGTAGGTTTTTTATGGAACAGAAAGAATCATCGATACCCTGGGAGTAACTCCAGTATACTGCAAAAATCATGTGATATCCATACACTGAACACTATATTTCAGATCAAGGGACGAGAGCAGGTCAGAGTAAAGGGTATAAAGGGGCAGGAGAAGAACAAGTGAAGGTGAAAAGCGAACATTGAGATGGATGGGAAAGGATAAACTTAGGAAGGAAAAATTAAGATGCCCGAAATCCGAAATAGGCTGGTCTTTGAGTATATTGCAGCCTGTATAGCCTGCATGTGCGAGACATCAACATAGCCCCTTCCCCCCTCACTATGGTGCGTTGGAAAGATAGATTAAAAATTTGCGCCTGAAAAATTTTAAAACCTTATCATCCGATACAAGTTTAGGATGAAACAAGTTAGACGTACAGATTTCCCCGTCGAATAAACCGCACTTGATTTTTCCACCGAATAGTTAAATCCGGAGGAAAAGAAGAGGCGGCCTGTAAACTTTCGGAA